CTGATAGCCATTGGAGCTTTTCACAAAGCAGCCATTTAGCAGAAGGTAAATAGATTGAGATTATCTATTATCTCCTCTTCACTCTCTCTCTCAACTCCCAGCATGCTCATTACCACTCACATTTTATGTTAACCTTCCCCCCATCCTGCCATCAAAACAAGTGGAGATGCTATTAAATAACTGGCCTGCAGCCACCCATCATTTGTTAAAAAACATTTCTAAGAATGCTTACACAAGCTATATGGGTCATACGGTCAAAATAGCTTGGAAAAAAAAAAACAGAATAAAAAGGGTACCACATTGTTTTGCCCTGCAGTGGCAGTACAGTTCTGTTGCGTAGATTACTAGGATTGGTTTGTAGCCAAGGGCTTTTTTGGGGGGTGGGTGGGTGCCAGTCCTAGTTACCTGATAGCAAGAAGTTTATGTAGGCAGGTGGGATCAAGCAGAGGCAATCTGTAGGTTAAGACTTGAATAGAAGTGTTGACGAAAACTGGGGATGCATAGCCAGGAAAAGATTAGAGAGGAGACATATTAGAAGCCCTCAGAGATATCTAGGACTCATATTTGGAAGAATCTGAATAGATCTATTGCAGAGTACAAAAGATACAGAAGTATAGGTGTTGTATGAATGTTAAGATAAACCGCTCAATAGCAGGATGTTATTTGTTTCTAGTGGAGCTTCTGTGCCAGCTGTCTAGTTGTGCTCATTAATACAGGTAGTCCTTGACTTACAACCACAATTGAGCCCAAAATGCCTGTTGTTAAGTGAGACATTTGTTAAGTGAGTTTTGCCCCATTTTACGACCTTTCTTATGGCAGTTGTTAAGCAATTGATTATCACTGCAATTGATAAGTTAGTACTCCGGTTGTTAAGTGAATCTGGCTTCCTCATTGATTTTGCTCGTCAAAAGATTACACATGACCTCGGGACACAGCAACAGTCATAAGTGTGAACCAGTTGTCAAGCATCTGAATTTTAACACATTCGTGTTAACGAAAGAATTTTTTCTGAGTAATCTAAGCGAGGCTCTTAATGCACAGACAATTAAAATGGAAGATAAATTTAGAGATAATAGAGAGGAGAGAAAAGAGGAAGCCAG